ATTCTAATTTTCTGATATGATGAATTTGAGATTTTCATTTGTTGTCATTTGTAATCATCAAAATTAAACAAAATAAACATCTGAGATATATGAGTTTGTATGTAATGTATGAATATAATATACAAGTTTCACTTTTTAAATGGAATTACTGAAATCAATCTACTTTTTCATGATATTCTAATTTTATGACCAGCACCTGTAAATGTAAATTGCCGTGTTCCATTGGCAAAGTTACCTGCTTAATTGCAGAAAAATTCACTTTTTTTTCCAGTTTAGGATCCGCATGTAGAGAAACTTGTGTAGGAACATGACTTCAGAATCCTGCCGAATAATAGTGGCATGATGTGAGATTGAAGCTCTTATTCATAAGGCTTAGATATGTAAAAAAAAAAAAAAAAAAAAAAAATTTGGTTTGTCGACTTTCTCATTCATTATTGATTTTATCTACATGGATCACACATGCTGTTGCAGACAACTGCAGTAGTGCATCAAGGCCAGGCTGACACATTTTTAATAAACCAGCCTCTGTTAACACAAAGGTTATCAGTAGGATGTACAGAAACTTTAGTTTAAGCAGCAAAAAACAAGAAGTCATTAACTAGATGATGTGTGATGATACCATGGTGATGGTGTGGGTTTTCATAACTCACTCATTGAGCACCCTCACCATGATGTTGATTGTACATTATGTGTCAGTTTTTAATCAATAAAATAAAAATATTTGTTATAATACACAAACACTTCCTGTGAGGTTGGTTTTATAGAATGGTTTGTCCAAACTGTGCCTTGTTTATCTTTTTAACTACATGTACTAGAATTTCAATATGCTTCTATTTGTTGTTTGTTTAATTAAATTTAAGAAATCAGGGCTGGTTTAATATTATTTTCAGTGACCTTTTTATCCCGCATAACCATCATTGTTTGGCTAATGAAGGACAGGAACAGTCCAGTAGGCCTGGGCAAAACATTACATCAGCAAACTAATCACAGTTCAACAAAGCACTATTTTCCAATTGCAGACTGATATTAAACGCTGACATTAAACTAGAGTAGGACTCACTCTCACTCAAGATCCATGCACCCCAGTAAAAGTAAGCACATTTCAACACAACAGTATGGGTCAAATCCTGCGACAATGGATTCTGGAAAGGCTGGCTTTCAAGGTCATGAAAACAATGAAACCCTGGAGTGAAGCATCTACAAGCTTGTGCTTAGGGCAGAGGAAAATAGAAATCAGATCACAATATTGCCTGAAAAGATATAACTTTTGATTTTTGATAACAGTTCTGTTAAATGTGTGTTGGCTCCCTCTGAAAGGTTCGGGGTGGTCAGCAGATGTATGGGTACAGGCTGCTCTCCCCACTTTTTCAGACTCCAGGAAGCTTTTTGCTTAGGGCTTTAATGTGTTATAATACATTCAAAGCATCTCGATCAGCATCCAAGTTTTGGTGTTTAAGCGTTTTTGACAGGCAATTTTTTTCTTAAATCTTACATGCAAAATTTTAATATATGTTTTTACAATTTTGGTACAATTACTGCTCTAAGCGGTTGCACTGTCAGCTAAAGGAATGTTTTAGAATCTCTACTGCAATTAGCGATTAATCTATTACTAAATTAGTTGATGATTATTTCTATAATCTATTAATCACGATTATTCTGATTAGTTGTTTCAGCCCTAGTGTCATTTTTATGATTTATAGGCTGTGCACGATATTATATTACTCTAGCTGGTCTGTTGTTTATTTTTCTTTATTTATTTAAAGTTTATTTTTTTTACCTTTATGTTAGTGTAAGAACTGCATAAGGTGCAGCTAAAATTATGAAAAAAAGCAAGACAACAATAATAATCGAAACTGGGGAGTTTACCTCTAATTGACCTAGAAAAAAATTATTTGAAGATTTATCTTAAATTAAGACCTAAATTACATTAAGATGCTTAAGGATAAAATTAAGGAAGGTGTTGATGCTAAAATGTTGTGCTATTGATGCAATAAATCTGAAGTGGATCGGGATTCCTACATAAGTCATTTGCCTTTGAACTGTGGGACTAAATCATTATAATAAGTGGGTATATTTTAATTTTTACCTCAATTATATAAAAAAAAAAATGTAGTACTAAAAGAGACACATCAGCTTTTGGCATAATGTTACTTGTGGTGACATTTTTATTACATATTTTTTCAGTTTGGGTCTCCCCTGGCCTCTGTTAATCAAGTTTCCTGTTCACAACTACACTCGTTATTAGTATATCTCTAAGAAATTATTTAATACAGCTGGTCAAAAATAGCATTAGAAGGTCAAAAATAGCATTAGAAGGGAAGCCTTAATCTTGTTTTTTTTCTTATTGTAGTTGTGAGAATAATTTATCCACCAGCCTTTCTTCTCAGTATAAGAATAACTGTTTAAATATTTATGATTTAAAAACGAGAGAAGGTTATTATTCTAGCCACTAGTGTGCCAGAAAATATGTGATGTCCTGCCTTTATTCAGATGATGTTTGGGCTTGGCAACACACTCCGCCATTGAACTTGTTTGTATTTAATCAGATTTACTGTCAACATTATTAATAACTGTGGAAGACTGAGGGCAAAGGAGAAAATGAAAGAGATGAGAAGAAGGTGCTGACAGAAAGAGCTGGATAATAAGCAGTTGTGCCGCGCTCGCTCTGAGTCTCTAACTGTGATCGAACGCTCCGCCCGCTCTGAGATAATGCTGCCACTTCATTTGCATGCTATATGTACGACGTATCAAAGAGACATTTGTTTTTTCTAACATTTTAATCATAGCTTATACACAATCTTGGATAAATATTTGAATGTACAGAATTTTATTTTATTCTAAGCAAAATATAAATTTATGTCTCTAGACTCTTTGCTCTATTTCTCAATATACAAAGACTTGATATAAAAAAAAACCCAACAAATTACTCCATTGAATAGCTTTGATTTCTCACCCTAATGACACATAATAGATATTTGGATGTAGAGAATAGCTTCCTCTGTTATTTATTTATGCATAATTTTTCTTTCAATCATGATGTTACTTTCTCTGTTCATCATTTTTATTTTCTGTAAACAGAAATTAACACAACTGGTTAGAACCAGTTTAATTAGGTAAGATTAGCCCAAATCCAGTTATTAGAAAATGAACGAAATATATTTTTTTTAATAAGAAAAAGTTTTATTACAGAAAGGTTATCTTACTACCTTGTTATGAGCTACATAATCAAGGGAAAGACTGCATTGACAGTTGTCTAGCAGTTGTCATTAAACCCTACAAAAGGCCATTGCTAAAGAAGTTGGCTCCAGGCATGATAAAGAAAAGTTTAGTGGAAGGAAAAAATTTAGTGGAGGATAATGAAATTTAATGTTACAAAAGACTTAAACTCTAAATGTTTATTTTTAGGTTAAGTTCAGTTAAAAAACAAAAATCTTAAATGAATAGAAATGCAATTGTTGTCTCTAAGTGGAGACATTTGGTGGCATAAGGGGGAGATGGGAGAAATATTGCAAGCACCCACAAAACTGAAATTCATACATTTTTAAAGCAAACAGCAAGCATCCCAGAAAGGAAAAAAACATATTATTTAAGGAGAATAAAGTAAAAAGGATGTTTGACACAGAAACATTGTCCATTTGAAAATGCTTTGTAGGATACATTGCAACTACTAGGCTCTATTAGAACGGGTTATACCATCTTTGTTGTACAACAGGCAGACAGTCGAGCTTTGGTCCTTGTACCTTCTCCTAGCAATAATTTTCAATCCACTTAATTTCCTGTTCATATGCTTAAATATAATCCGGCTGTGGGCAGCTAGGTTTTTTTAAGAATGACCCTTTGTGGCTTTTCCGGTTTGCAAAGCTGTCAGTGACTTTCTGCTGGATAACTGTGCAGTCAGCAGTCTTCCCTATGCTCGATTGAACTTTAACTTTTCTTAACTAAAACCCAATTTTTAAAATCCTCATATTTTATTTCTGTGAAATTTCAATTTTAATTCTTATGAATTATCAGTTATCCTCATCAAAATGAACCTTAAATAGCTGAAATTTCCAGTATGGATGTGACAAATCCACGTTCTTTTCCTTTTCAGGGGTCGCCACAGCGATTCATTGATCTCCATCTCTTCTGATCTTCTGCATCTTTTAGTCTTATGGTTTGAATTGGGCTACTGAAAAAAAATTAGATACTGTTTTTGAATTTATTGAGAAAATATTTTGTTGACTTGACCTGATTTATCAATCTTGATTAATCTGTCATATTAAACAACATTGTTAGAACACCAAAAGCTGAAGATTTTATGTCTTGATAAAAAGGATGATCAGCTTGTATGTAATTAATTTAAATAAAGTTATAAGTTATTGTCTATAACTTATCTGATGGAATACATTGTATGTAAAGCCTCAAAATAAGTGAAAAGGTAAAATTAAGGATATACATTTATTTTTTTGTCAAAAAACTGCCAATGGAAACCTGTAAGATGTAGAATATTTTTCTATTATATTTTTGTCACTTCAGGTGTAAAAAGGAAAAAAAAAGCTTAAACAAAGTTAGATGAAGCTTTGCTTGGGAAAGCATTGGTCCACCTCATTGATATTCTGAGGCTTTATGAGTGAGAACTGTAAACAAGCAGAAAGCCCTGGAATTGGCACTCAAGGCGTATTGCTGGACACAAGCAGAGTCTCTGCTTTCTTAACAATGCCAGACATTCACATGTATTCACACACAGTCACATACACACATACTCGGCCACAGCTCCCCCCCTTCTCAGTCTCCCGTGTTGGTTTTCTCTCCTCGCCCTCTACGGGTCTGCAGCACATCAGCAGCTGCTGGTGGAGTGCAGCAATGCATTTCAAAGCAGAGCTGAGGAGGGCAGGGCAGGCAGCGTGGCCCTGTGTGGCCCAGCCAGAGGAAAGAGAGTAAGAAAGAGAGAGAAAAGAGAGAGAGGGGGAATCTTCCAAGCTAACAGCACTTCTCCCCCTTCTGTTTTCTCTCATCTCCAGAGCTGCAAGCAGAGCAACAGCCAGGCTCCTCCTCTCCTGCCACTCAGGAACTGATGACAAGGCTGGGCTTTTTACTGGGAGAAGGGATCCCTGGTACGGCACGCATACCTATGGATGACAAGAATGAAAAGAAGGTATTACATTTTTTTCCCTCCCTCCCCTCTACCTCCCTCCCCTCTACCTCCCTTCCTCACCCAGCAGCAGCTGCTGCCACTGCTGCAGCCCACAGATACACCGATAGAAAGGAGCTGATCCGAGGAGATGATAGTTCACACTCAAACCCTGAAAATGGATTCTTTTTTCCCCTCCTTTAATTCTGGAGTTTTTAGGGGGTATCTTTTGGAAATCAAGTTTCTCCTCAACAAGAAATGGTAACTATCCGGCTGTTTCACTTAAAGCATTCAGTTTCTTTAAAGGGAAGTGGATGTTTTAAATTGGTCACATGTACTTTTAATTGCGTGTTCCTCAGTGTCGTGCTGTAACTTAAGTGCTATTTCAGGGTCAGCTCTGGAGTATGTAACAAGAGTATCTGAGCTCGTGTCCAGAAATAGTTATGTTAGGTCTGAGCTTCAGTTTGTTTGGCTCTGTTAATTAAGCTGGGACTTTGTAGGAAGCGGAGCCCAGCATGCTGCTGTTTCCCCATCCATCTCATGTCCAAGGGCATGTTTTGATGATAAAATTGCAGTTTTAGGAATCTTTGAGAGGCTAAGAAAGTGTTTTAAGAACCAAAGTCATTACAGAAAATTTCATCGGGCAGCCAGAATTGCTTAAGCTTTAGACATTTTGATGTACGTTGTTTTGTATATCATCTGTCATCTGTAAGCAGTTCTATTTTCCCCTGTGACGTTGTTTTACTGCATGTCTGTAACACAGCACGTTTTAGTATTGCCTCAGAGCTAATTATAAAATCTCAGTTTGGTCTCTGTCTCTTACTGTGGTGTTTGTTTACAGAAAGGAGGGCTGTAAAAAGAAAGAATGCCACATAGTTAAAGTTACTGCTCTACAAGTTGGTAGTCATGCTGTCACTGATATTTATTAGTCTTACTGTTCTGGTTCTTCCATTTAAAATAAAATGTTCAAAATTCATAAAGCAAATTTAGTTGAAATTTTTTTTTCAGCAAAAAATATCTTTTTTTTTTTTTATATTGCACAATATGAAGCCAAATACATGTAAGGTCAGGATTTTATTGATTAAACTGTATGAACCGTTCCCTGAATGGTTTGAAATGGTAGTTTGTCTCAAAGAATGTACAGTTCTGAATATGTTAAAGATGCATTATGAGAGAAAATCAATTAAAGTCCCTCAGGATGCATAACATCAGCAAATATGCATTTTTATATGGCAGGAGGCCTATTTGACCTGGAGTTTTAATTTGTTGCTTTAAGGAAGATAAGCCAGCTTAGCAATATAAACATTAATTGATGCATGCAATCTAGTGGGCCTTGCAGAAATGTTACGGTCTTGGTCTTCACCTTTCAACTTACCTTCAAAAACAGCACAATGAACTCCTGAAACAGGTGGAAAGTGTGGAGAATTTTAAAGCAAGATCTCACACAGCACTGTCATCATCTAAAAAAACCCAAAACAAAACAAAGCAGAGCATTGACTACATAATCAGCCTTTGTAACAAGATGAACCTGCAGAGGTCCTCAGCTCAGATGGAGGAATCTATCAACAGCTCAACTATTAGCTGTGCGCTCCACAAATCTAACCTGAATAATAAAGAGGGAAGAAGGAAATCATTGTTTACAGAAAACTAAGATTTCTGGTTGAAAGTTTGGTCAGATCAGAGTAGTATTAAACTATTTGGCCTACAGGCCAAACACTATACCGTACATAAACCTGAACACATCCTATCCCCACTATGAAGCATGGTGGTGGCAGAATCATACTTAGAGTGATGCTCTTCTCTAGGTCAAAAAGATGCTTTCAAGGACGATTCTTAATCAATGAAGCTTAATACAGGGCAAACATCGAGGTTAACCATTTAGTGGCTTTAAAGACCCGAGAATGAGTTTGCAGCTTCACCATCAGGACATAAACCCTTTATATAGTTTGTGTGCAACAATAAAAAGTATATAAATGTCTTTGTATTCCATGTGTAATGTCCAAATCTAAATCTGATTGATAATCTGTGACAGGCTTTAAACCTGGTAACAAAAAACTCTAAGATTTGTTTGAGATTAGATAAGTTTAAGATTGGTTCTAGTCTCTAGATGCAGGATTAGGCTCAGCCTATAAACTGGATTTACAAGATCATTTTCACATTCTCGTTGCCGAAAGTCCTTTTAGTTCCCATGTTTGCTATGTGTTACACTGTTGCATTAAATCCTAATTAAATACATTTTAGTTTGTGGTTATAATGTGGCTTGTGGGAGTGTTCAAGGTAGGTGAACATATTCACTGTGAACTGTACATCTAAAGCAAGCAGTGCGACCAAATGTTCTTAGTTTATGTGCTGTCATCTGTAAATCAGAGAAGAAGAAAACACATTTCATTCCTTGAAGTTTATTGATTTAAAAAGTTGTTGCAGACTAATATCCATGCAGTCATTTGGCTCTTCTTATTTCACATACCGTTTAATGTGTGGAAGGAAAATGTCGCAATGGAGAAAACAAGGATTAATTGGATTTTGTTAGCTTGTCTGTTTTGTTCCAATCAGCTGTTGCGTGGTTGCCATGCAGCCTTCATGACCTTACAAGGTGTCTATTGTTGCACAACAGACTGGAGTCTTCTTCCTCTGTGAATTTTAGCTATCGGTGTGTAATTTATTTTAACCTTGTACCGTTTACAGCGCTCATGCCTTTCGGCTTGTGTCATGCTCCCATGTGAAACCCATGCCTGTTTGCTAAGGAAATTATTCCACTGGTTTCACATGATTCAGGTTAAAGTGACTGAAGTTAGATCAGATCTGCCTTGTCTCCCAGCTTCCTTTTTTTAATGCTGGCTCCCAGATGAGACTGGAAAATGTTTTATTTGCCCAGCGATAAGCTTAATGTAAAGTTTCCTCGGTATAATACATTTTAGAGAACATCATTGTTGTATTGACACCCTTTTTCCGGTCTCTCTCTACCTTAGTGCGCTTTGACCAGCCAGGGAATTAGTCCCTGCTCCACCCTGACCAGCAGCACGGCGTCTCCCAGCACAGACAGTCCATGCTCCACTTTAAACAGCACGACGAGTCGTCCCCCACTCAGCCGCTCCAGCCCCTGTGGGACCATCACCAGCCCCAGCTCCACTCTTGAGAGCAAGGACAGTGGAATCATAGGTAAGATACAGCCCCCATCCACTCACCATCCACTGAGATTAATTAGAGTTAAAGGCAAACTTGTGAGAATGCAGAAATCTGTCTAATTAAGAAAGTATTTCTATTACAGGTTTGAATATTTAAAAGGCAAAGTGATTCAGAGAAGGAATAAATACAGTGGAAATGAACAAATCTGAGTTATAAGCATATAGTACACAAAATATGGCCAGGTTTCTTCCTGTTTTAGGTCAAGTTGTTATGAATCTCTTTTAAGATATAAAAATAAAAAGTTCTTTGAATAGAGTAGATTTCATTTCATGTTTTAACTTTGATTTGGATCAAATGTTTGACACATCTAACAGTTGCGGGGACACCGACTTTCAAAGACACCACTGACTCTGGCAAACCTTGAAACAACCAAAGGACGTTATGTTTAGCACACACTCATACTTTTTTTTTTTACTTATCCCTCTAAAGCCTCAAAAAAGTACCTGTGTGGTGTCAGTCATTTGTCATTTGATGCATTTGTGTGACAAGTTATTCATCCCAAGTCAGTGGGTTTGCAGGAAGCTGCTTCAGCAGGAGGCAGCGTCAGGCTGACAGTGGCAGCACGCTGTGCTCGATCTCTTGTAATAGTCCTAAAAGACATGAGGAGATTTATGCAAGCTGACGGGAGGACGGCACTCTGTTGATGCATTAATTTGTCTTCCTTTCCACAGATAGTAGGATTATAATTGACAAATTTTTATTTATTTTTTAAAGTAGATTGAATAGCAAAGTGTTTCCACTTATCTACACTTAATTCCATTTTTTTCTTCTAGCGTGGTCTGCTTTAATAAATTAATTACAGTTTATACAGAATTGTGAGTCTAATTTCGTTCTAACACTAACGTTGCAGCTTTTAAAAACGTACCAACGTCATACTTTTGCTGTAGAAAGCAATACGTGCCAAAGCCATTCATAACACGACGTTTTGATTTCTAATTCTGCAGGGTTTATGTAACTGATTGCCATGAATCCATCCCTCTTCCTTCCCTAAAGTAATATTATTGGGGGGTAGTGAATAATTTATGAAGGCTGTAATATGCTATCCTCCTGCCAGAGGTGCTGATGCAAATCATGATTGAACATTTGCTGAAAATCTGAAAAAGGATGTTGGTCTGAAAGTGTGAGCCTAACCAGAGGACTGACACGTTTCAGAAGGCATCCTGTGGGAAATCAACAGGAAAAACTGCTGTTCAATCTATGAACTTTGTTAATCACAGAAACGTTAAAGTGAGCAAAAAGCAGATGGGTTAGTAGAGTGAATGAATCTGGGACAATGGATTAGGTGTAACTGAAAGCAGATAAAGCTATCGATCCAGGACTGTAGTAAAGCAGAACTCTATCTGCAGTTTGGGAAAACATCTGGATTAGCCTTGCATTTTTGCTGAGACTGCTTCGTAGCAAGTCTTCGAGTTTTGAAACATGACACTTTTCCCAAGACATGTCTGGTTTTTGTTTGATTCTACTTTTCTCTTATCCGTAGCTTGTGAGGTTTAAATCTTCTTTTGTCCCCCATTCAACATCATAATATGTTATCATCATCGGAGGAGGCTCAAATTAATTGGTAATTGAGGATCTAATCATTTTTATTTGATGAATTGGTATTTTTAGATTTTACCTTTAATGTATCTGGCAAAAAAAAAGTCATCACCTAGAATACAAAATTCTAAGCAAGACACAGAATTTCAGGAGCATTATAAAAATTTAAGAGTCTAAGGAACTGTGAAAGGTAAGGACACTAAGGAGCTGTATTAGCAACACCTAATGTCTCAGAACACTGATGAGTGAAAAGTTTTTCTTCTTAGGCATCGAGCTGAATTAATATTCAGGGTTTTACTAATTTGTGTGCAAATAGAGTGGGTTGGGAATTAATCAGAACCACTGGGCTGAGACATCTCTCTCCCTTACCTCAATAAAGTGGTTCTGAAGGAAAGAAGAACAAAGCTGTGATGCACGTCAGATTCCTGTCTGTGATTAATGTTCTTGGTTCTTTAAAGTTTCACCCTGACTGGTTTGAAAAGCACAATTATTTTTACTCTGCACTGCATTAAAATCCATTTTTGGTTGCATAGAATGGCCATAAAGGCACATCTCAGCCTAACGTCTAATGAAATGAAGGAAAAGTATTTTAAAATGAAAAGAATAACCCACAGTTTATGATGATAGTTAACCCTGAACAGGGATGTGATTTTCTGTGAATGTTTCAAGTGGCACATGTGTTTGATATATCACTAATAATACACTATCTGCAGGATTTTGAAAGTTAGATTGTCAGGCTGTTTGATCGAAATGCTCTTTTAGTATATTTTGGTTTCTTTTTAGGAATAGTAATACAGAATTTATGTCCTTCCTGAAATGAACAGTTAAATGTACTGTTACTGATACACATGGATTGGATATCATCAATCAGATATCTGTTATTGGGCATCCAATCCAGAGCACTTTACATGGAGCCATTATATGTTTCTTTTTGCTGATTATTTTTTCATAAATAATATAAAGTACATTTATATCTGTGGTCATTTGTTACCCTTTTCTGTTAAGGCTAAAAATGGCAAGATATATGTTCCTTCATTCAACAACTAAATCGGTATCAGATGTTGGCCCATACACTCACCCCAGGTATCGGTATCTGTTTGGATCGGAAAAAACTATATTGGTGCGTCTCTAGTTGCATGTCACTGTAAAAACAGGATTTTACTATTTTACATTAAGGAAAGAAGAATACTCTTGGCCATTTAAACTGAAGGATAAAAGATGATGTACGATCACAGGGCCCCACAGAGAAACACAGGAAAAGACAACCATGCACAGGGATGCACATGCTTAGGGGGATTTAGAAAGACCACCACATACTGAAGGACAACCTGATTCAGACCCAGCAACTTCCTTCTATAAGGAAACAGTCCTATCAATTGATCAATCATGCGGCCCATCTTTAGTTTGGGAAAAACTCAGAAAAAAGTTGGATATGAGCCTTCTCCGCTCTGTAGCTCTGTCCAAACCAACGCTCTTTATTACTGTGAACTGGTACTGTTACAGTGTTACAGTAGGACATGCTCACTAAATATGGAGGGATCAGATGTTTACCTTTTGACTGGCCAATTAGCAGTCAGAACAAATCCAGTCGAAAGTCAACCAGTTTAAATTTTTAACTGATTGCTTGGTCTGTGTCTAATGTTTATATCTGCCTCACAGAGCATGCTTCTCTTGGTTTTCTTTGTTGAAGGATTGGAGGATTTGTTCTCACCTAAACAGAGCACTAGTCTAAACTAGAACAGTTCTCAGATCTAGATCTGTGTGGATTCATTTTTGTCTGCGTTGTACCTAATTACTGTTTTCACTGTATAAAGCTGAATGAATAGTTTCATTTAAAGCAAGAATTCTGAGCTAAATCACTAAATAAATGTAACAAATCTGAGATACAATGCATCTTGCTTTTTATAAGTACAGGGAGACTGTCGTTGTCGAATCAGAATGAGCTCCTGAGTGGTGTTGATAAGAGCAATGCGCAGAAGCAACGAGTTATTCAGAGTTCCACTACAGCTCAGTGTCTCAATGAAGATTAAGACTGATGAATGTTCATATCACACAAAAGACAGAGCTGTAATTTATCTCGCATCTCCTCACTGGCTTCAATTCATTTTTTCTGTCTTCATTTAGCCACCATCACTAGTTCCTCCGAGAATGACGACCGCAGTGGCTCCAGCCTCGAGTGGAGTAAAGATGGCAGCCTGAGGAGCACCGGGTGCCATGGATTGGCTCAGAGCATACGGGCTGACACCTGCTCTCCCGTGGTTGAAGAAGAGTCCAGCAGTGCCACGGCAACACCAGCCGACACGCAGTCGAAGACAGACCAACAGCAGGAGCCCCACACATCAGCAGGAGCACAGGCGACACAGCGGCCTTTAGGTCACACATCGGACGGGCTGAATCAATATCCACCGCAGACGTCTTCTTCATTAATGATGCCAAGGCCCAACTCTGTCGCTGGTAAGGACCTTTACAGTTTTTGAACACATTTTCTGACAAACAATAAGCGGTCTGTATAAGTCTGTTACTGTACTGCAGCTTTTACACTCAAGCTTCTTCTGACTCTTATAAAAAGAGCTTTGCCTCAGGCAGAAAGGTGAAATGCCATTTTAGTCCAAGACAGTGAGGGATACAAATCGCCTGGAGCTCAAGATGATATATAAAAATATATATATAAGTACAGGTGTAGCTTTTCACAACTGGGTGTCAGGGCAGAAGTTTAGGATTAGGCAGCTGCTGTGTTATTGTGCCTTGACAGTGGTTGCCATGTCAGCTCTGAGCACAAGCTGCTGTCTGGCTGATCTGTTCTGCATTCTTTCCCTTAAAGCTCCTTGTGTTGGTTCGCCTCATGATATTCACACAGCTGTCACAGTTGTTGATATTCCCAGTTACCCCCGTTCTCTCTCACGTCTCCCCCTCTTGGTCTCACCCTTTCGGGTCACGTCTGTTTGCTGTTGTTCCTTCAGAACTTGACCTAGTTGTTAAAACGGTCTTTATGAGCCATTCTTTTCTACTCCGTTTTAGACCAAGATTTTACAACAACATAGACAGTGTTTGCTTTCTACTGTGTAATAGACTGTTAAGGATGTAGTTCATCTGTGTACAAGACAAGAACAATGCCTTTTGAAAGGGGTTTGTATCTCTTGTCTCAACTGCAGATAATAAAATCTGATGCATGGTTTTTAAAAGGTTTTACAAATAGCAGTGGAACAGATTCAGTCTCTCTACTCTAATAATCATTAAAATAGAATTAAAATAGACTCCAAATGGTATCACAAGTCCTGAAATTAGTAGAAGCACTATGTTTTTGTAACTTCCCATGAGCCTAAATGCACATGTTCTTAGAATACCTAAAAGTGATTTTTACAGAACTTTTAGAGCTCATATTGAAGACCAAGGAATACAGAAAAAAGTCTGGCAAAGTTTTTTTTAAAAGGTAGGTTTATAGGTATGCTAATAATCATGACTTTTGAACATCTCACATAGAACTGTTTTATGCCTCTTTTGAAAATGGAAATAATACGGAGGAGCTGCAGAAGGAGAGCAGAAAAGACTCATTGTAACTCTGGAGGAATAGCTCAGATCCACAGCTTAAGTGGTGCAAGAGTATCTTGACACAACAGCCATTAGTGTCGAGCAGCCAGTTCGATTTTTATTGAAGAGTGACAAAAACAAAGGGGTGCAGTGGCAAACTTGGAACAATTTCTGACAGTGTGAAAAGAGATAAACAACATTTTTGGCCTATGTGGAAACAGCAGAAGAATGGAGGTGGCAGAATTATGCTGTGGGGATACTTCAGCACAGATAGACAAGCTGTTCACTGCTAACGAGAGGCCAAATTGAGTTTAATAAAGGGCTATCCTGATAGCAAACCATTTTAGAGATATCTTTAGACTGTTGCAACGATTGAAGCTGTTGTAATGGAACGGTTCAGATCCAATCATATCAATATGTATTATCGGTATGTCTGTCTAGCGTACCTTAACCTTAGCCCAATGTCAAACTCCAGACATAAATATACGTGAGATTCAACAGCAAAACTTGGACATTTCTTACAAATTACAAAGTACTGTATAAACGCAAAAGGCTCTGAATCCAAATGCACTTCACTCCTCACATTCTCATTAAAAGAAAAAAAATAACTTCTTTTTAAACTACAGAGCCTTTTCCTATATTAAATATGTATTCATTTATGTTAATCTGATACATAACATCCCAGTAAAATACATTTAGGGTTTGTAGTTGTAAGATGACAAAATACAAATAATAAAAAAAGAAATATGAACAGTTTTGGAAGCCTCTGCATATCTTCAGGCTGATATTCATTTTCTTTTCTTCTGGTCAGGTTGATGGATACTTAGACTAACAGCATAAACACTAAGGTCATGACTTCAGCAATTGTTTGACAGACCAGAGTGTGTGTTGTGTACAGAGGGTGAAACATTTCTTGGTCAGGAGGTAGATTGCATACAAAATGAGGTTACACTTACAGGAGCAGAAAAAAAAATCTTTTATACAGTATGGCCGCTGAATTATATCACCTTCTACCTCAGAAGCAGAGATAACTGAGCTGAAATTGCAGCAGCAGATATATTTTAATCTGGAAAAAGAAAATTTAAATAGAGGTCAAACATTTAAGACTCAAACAAGACAATAACACCACCTTCCATTCTGTGTTCACAGATTGCAAACCGTTATTCTTAACCTTTTTTGAAAATTGTATCTTACTTATCCACTATGTTGTCGACCATAAAGCTTAACAGGCCAGACACACTTTGGCTCATAAAGCTAGTAGACCAGGAAATATTTGGCAGTGTATGTGTGCTTGTTTTATGGGCTGATGTCATAGTTATGCAGCATTGCCCTCTGGGGCCCTTGACAATTCACACCTTAGATTTTACGCTGTGTGACAAAACCGCAGGAGAGGACATACAGGACATGGTGAGACGACTTCATTTACGGCTGTGTTGGCATCCCGGTGAGGCAAGGATTGTTCTCCTGAAGAGAATTATCTGCAAGGAAGATATGATGATGAATGCATTTTAATAAAGTCGTCTTATCTGAATATCTCAGTGGTAGTTCTTTTTTTTTTATCATTGGATTCTAAGATCTTTTGAGAACTGAAAGTTGTCTGAATTGTTACACAACAGAAACTTAGTTATATACCTGATTATAGGTATTTTTCATCATATACAGTCTTTTGTTGTGACCTTAAACAAGTGAAAGTTGCTTTATGTTGGACAATAACTTTGCTCTAAAGGTATATCGATTGGAATGTGGCCTCATAAATTTATAATAAAAATATATCATCAGTAAGGCTCCTCTACTGTAAGCCGGATCTTATTTGGAAATACCTCAGGGTTACATGAAAAATTCAGATTTTATATTATCTGCTGAATTGAGCAGTTACTTGTCTGGGTTGACCTATTAAATACTCTCCTGTAGGTGAAAGGTATAGAGATATAAGTAAGCACTTCAGTTAGGACATTTTAAATCAGATTAGTTTAATAGAAAAAAATGTTTATCTTGTGAAGATCTTTCCACAGATCAATTATATTTATAGCTTTTTTTATTATGCCCATTTTATCATCTCTTTATATCAAATTCTTCGTATAAATTACAAGGTTTCACTTTATTTAAACCAAAAAAATATGGCTTCATCCAATTGCTTTTATATAAAAACCACCGGTTACTCCTAATGAAACAGAAATTATGCCTCAGTAGGAATAATTTGTCCTTTTACTTTGTTCTGTTTTAAGTTTTATTTCAAAACAGCTAAAGATGTCTTAATTGCAAGCAGGAAAAATGTAGATGTTTTTTTTCTGCAAGATAGTCTGTATATAGCTACAGGTGGAGGAGGAGCAGCTCTATGTTGCTGTTAAGCTTCAGAAAGCTTTAGAGTATCTGGTATTCTATCTGGCATTGCATTAAAACACTTTAAACCTTATCACAGAACATTTAAGACTTTATGGCCAGACAGGATTCTTGAACCATCAACCCTCTTTGGTGATATCTTGGACTGTTTGTGCTGACAGGGTGATTTATAATGTATAATTCGCTGTTGTGAATATTTGCCAAAACACTGGATCAACACGATCTTTAAATCAGAGGGCACACTGGATCCAGTTTGGTAGCAAATCCAACTGAGACTTTGGATCTTATGAAGTTGTAGTAATTATGTCTGGTTGAAGTGAAGGGGGGTGAGCTAACTGCTGGTGATTCCCTGTGTATGTGTCTGCATGTTCCGATCAAGGTAGACACCCTGTTTAAAGAACTTAGAGATTTGACCGGAAAATCAAGAGTCAGACAAAAAGCAAAACAGATTCACTCTAAGGAAAATACAAAGTAAACTCTCTAAAATCTCGAAGCAAACTGTATGTAATCTACAGCCACAGCTCAAAGTAGATAGAAACCGGAAAGAAAGTGAAACTGTGATCTTCTTTGCTTGTTGGAGCAGTAACTGCAGCTTTACATGAACTGCATGGCTTGTTTAAGCTGTAAGAATTTTCTATTAATACATGGGCCTACTCTTATGCGAATACTTCATCTTGCAAGTCCTGTTGTCTGTACACTTTTTACACCAGGGTTCCTCAATTCTGATCCTCATGGTCTAGTGTCCAGCATCTTCTAGATGTCTTTATTTAGACACACCTGAGTCACATAATCAGCTCATCAGCAGAACCCTGGAGAACGCTGCTTACTGCAGAGGTATTTAAGCAATTTAATTCAGGTGTGTGAAAACGGAGACCTAGACAGGACCAGAACTCACTCAACAGTGAACAAAGTTAGAGACTTGCCTATAGTAGTGATGTTGAGATGAAGCATCATGAGGCACTGAATCCTTTTGGGAAAATTAGCGAACCCAACAGTTGATGAAGCTTCATGTGAACATGTGGAATACATAAACACAGTTAGCAATATAATTGCGATTTTTTTTGCAGATTTGTTTTCCAATTTAAGTTTCTTTGAAATTGTTCATAATTGGTCTTTTTTAAGGTTTTTTTCTTTTACGTTACACTGTTTTCTGTCATTTTGGTGACATATGCTCAAGCAGACAGTTGAAAAGTGTTAGTAATTTTTATTCAAAAATAATACGGTAATATTTTTTCCACAGTTTTTGGTTTTAATCTGGTTAGAATTTATGTGTACAAACAATCTTTTTGTTAAACCAACCAATCTAATTTGCCAGTGTTTTAACCCAATTTATATTGGTAAAAGGGAAAACCAATAGAAATCGGTCACATTAAACAATATACTGGTTAAGCAGTATAGCAATTTTCAAAACCTTAACACAGGTTTTGAATCAATAACCCTTGGATTGAGAGGCAATGTCTTACAGCAGACACCACTTGGATTGGTAGCTGTCTGAAACCATTGGCTTTCTCATGTTCTGATCATTATATTTTTCAATCTAACCAAAATAGTTTCAACCAACTAATCTATTCTTAGAATATATCCAA